AATTTTCAAACATATGAAAATAAAATGGTAAACCATCAGTACATAATATATTAACATCAATTTTAGATTTTAATATTGATGAATTAAATATTATTTCAAATGGTTCTAATGATTTTGTATCAAGACAAAATTCAAGTATAGATTTTGAATATGTTCGATTTATTGTTCGTGCCCATGTAAATGTATGAATAGAATCGAAAATATTTATTTTTATAAATTGACCTTCATATTGATGTATAAGTGTTGTTCTTTCCCAATCACATGCAAGAATTGAATGAACAAATTCAATAGTTACTTGATAATCAGCAAGACTACGAATTATTTGAGTACAATTTAAATTACGAGCTTTATCCAAAAGTGTTTGATTATTATTATGTTTGCAATCGACTTTTATAAAACCTAGACAATACAAACAAAAAAAAGATTTTAAATAAGACACAATAATGATTTAATCGATTGATTTACATGTCTAGTTATTTTGAATCAAGGACGTTCTCAGAAGGGTATTAAAGATTGATCTTTTGTTCTTCCCCTCTCCCCTCCCAAAAAAGAAAGATTTGAATGATCTGTGAGGTTTTCTTGTACTATGAATTTATTCAAATTTCGTTTTTTGTTACTTGAGCTCATTGGTTCCATATATGCTTCAAATTCGATAAGCTCTATTGAAAAATGCCAGTTCGGTCCGACTTTTCTGAACTTGAATACGATAGGCTGCAGCATTTATCGCTGTTAGAATCTTATAAACTTTTCTCAACTGTTGCCAAACAAGCTTGTTTAAAACTTCAAATTTCTAATGATAAATCGACATTTCTAGTAGTTTTCAATTCACATTCTCTCCTATGGGACTGAAAACATTGGTCTCATGATCTATTATTATCTTAATAAATAATTATATGGAAGAGACATATGAACTTAAAATTATTATCTAACAGAAACTATTTCATTATCAAATAATGACTTGACTATTCACCTTTTATCAATCGTTCTGCTTCTTGAATATTATTCATTTCAATTGCTGCCCAAATTCCTTCTCCATAACCAGCATATAATGCAGTTAATTGTGGATTATCTTCCAGATAAGCATCAGCTGCTTTTTCTTCTTTATTTAAAATACGTGGATCAACTCCAACACGAAATAAAGCCTTAATACACATATAAAAAAAAACATGCTTAAATAATTTCATTTATATATAGATACCTGAACAAGATCAAGTCCAATATCAACAAAACCTCGAATAAGAACTTCATGTAAAGGTGTATTACCTTTTTCATCTGTAACATTCGGATTGGCGCCAGCATTACTCAATGCATAAATCATTCGATAAGCAACACTATTTAAAATTTAAAAAAAAACATAAAACAAAACAGATTACTTTTTTTATGAAGAATTGTAAGGTGCTAGAATAATACGTCGCGAATGTGTGAATGTGAGTGTAAATGTGAGTGCGAGCCTTTTGTACGCCTTCATCGATACACGAAGTTATAACTCATCAACATATCTATCTTCAAATAAACAAGAATTTCTGAAAATATGTTTAATCGTTCTAATTGCAATTCTCGTTTGTTTGCAGATAAAAATGACTATTTTATGCGTGGCGTATATCAAAAATATTTTGAGAAACACTCTGAGTGGACGTAATACGCTCGAAGGGGAACTGCGATTAGCTCGATTAAACGCATTTTCGGAAATTCTTATCTGTGAGGGTACACAAAAGATCCGCACTCACATTAACACCCGTGACGAATTGTTCGGTCACTTAATACTAATTTACTTTTCTTGTTCACTGGAATTTCGACAAATAATATGAAAATAAGAGCCTTCAATGGGATGACATAATCCAGCTGATTCTGGTTGTTCATGAAGTATTGAATTAAGTTCTTGTAAAAGATCTTTTGAATTAATCGATCGTTGAGTGAGTAAATGATAAAGACGATTATTATAAAACGGATCACTTGTTACAGACATTGAGATGAAGCAAAAGACAATGACAATTTTGAAATCGAAGAATATACAATCAAACAATATTTTAATTATTTATAATACAAAAATATTTGTTGTTGAGAGCAATATGATAAGTTTTATTGTGAATAATCTTTCTGGTAGATTGTGAAGAAGAAAAGAAAAAGAAACAAATGTTGTGTTATTAGATAATTACTTCTCATTTTATATTTTTCTTTTTTTTATACTCTATTCATTTTTTGTAGTAGAAAAAAGAATATTTATCGTTCATTTTTTTTTTATTATGTCTACGTGTGAAAATATTTTTCCAGTTGTGTATATGCGTCTTCAATTTTCTTTTGTTTTTGTTCTTATGTTTGAATGACAAATTAATATTTGAAGATTTTTTTTTTT